CTGGAGCCATCAACAAGGCAGACAGTGGCTCCCAGGTGGAGGGTGCCACCAAGATGGCCCTGGAAGGTGGGGCCTTGGCCCTGGCCCATTGTGTCCAATAGGGCCAGTCATTGGGAAGGCCAAGCATGTGCTTGTGACAGGTGCCTCCAGAGGTCAGTGCTGGGATCGGTACCAACAGCTCCAGGATCCTGCTTCTGATGTGTACTCTGATGCCAACCAGGGAGGAGATGAACTGTATGGTGCTGCCGATTAGCACTGAAAGGAGTGTTCGTGGATGCTCATGGCAGCAGGCTTCCCACGGTGCCGTGATGCCAGCAGTGCTGAAGATGTCCTTGGGTGCTGGGGCTGGAAGAGGCACAGAAGGTGCCTGAGGTGGTGGTGTGGCCGCAGGTCCCAATGCCAGAGGGGTCATCTGTGCCAGACACTGGTGCCAAGAACGAGCATGAGGAAGATGGTACCACCACACCACTGGAGCTTTGCCACCAAGAAGGAGGTGGACATGCCACAAATTGCACTGATGCCATGAGTTTAATGAGATCTTGTGTGGCCTTAAATGTATCTGGAGTGGTGGGAAGGTCAAAATCCTCATCCACTGCCACTGGAGCGTCCATACACAATGGACTCGATGGACCTGCCGTCTGGACTGGAATCAACAGTTCTGGGGCTGAAGGACTCAGCCTGGGTAGCCTAGATATGGTGCAGGCCATCTCCAAGGCCTTACTAGACTTCCTGGAGGAGGAATGACCCCGTAGCTGCTTCTTTTATAGCATTGGGAGGAAGATCTCCAAGAGCAATTTTGTGGGGAGCGATAGCTCAGTGGTTTGAGCATTGGCCTGTGAAACCCAGGATTGAGAGTTCAATTGCTGAGGAGGCCATTTAGGGATCTGGGGCAAAATCTGTCAGGGATGGTACTGGGTCCTGCTGTGAATGCAGGGGACTGGACTCAATGACCTTTCAAGGTCCCTTCCAGTTCTAGGAGATAGGCATCTTCATTCATTCATTTATTTAAGCCAATCTTCTGCACAGGAGATCAGTGCAGATGGTCCCTGAGCAATTCTGGACACGGCTCCGAGGTTGGCACACTGTGCATTGATGGAGTTGGAGTGTCTGGCTGAGTCCTAAGTGACGACTCCATGAGGATAAACTTAAACCATTGGTCATTCTCCCTTTTAATCTGCAGTGCAACCCCCCTGAAGATATCTTGCAGGTGACCTTCTCAGATACTTTGGCAGGCAGTGTGTGGATCCCTTCTTGGCCTCAGCTTTCCACCTTTCCTGCACTGTTTGAATTGCTGGGCCCATGCATGTCCCAGGTGCAGGCCCCACACACACAGACAAATCTACACTACAAAGAACAATTAAAGACTGCAATGCTAGGAACTAACTACTTGTGAAATATTTTACATCCTCATTACTGATACTGAAGGTAGAACTAACCAGGGCCAACCCACCACATTTTGGCACCTGAGGCGGGGAGCTCAAATGACACCCCCATACCCCTCGCTTGGGCCAACATTTTGAAAGGTCTCAATTCTGCCTTCTTCCTGTTCTACTCTCATGGTGCTGCTCTGCTACCTACATATGCACCAGCAGCAGACAATTTTCTACACTATGGGTCCTAGTGGCGTCCCCCCACAGTCTGGCACCTGAGGCAGCCGCCTCAGTTCACCTCATGGTAAGGCCAGCCCTGGAACTAACAGCATATTAATGAAATGTGCAGATACCTGCTTTAGCATCAGAGTTGCAAACACCAGTTGAGATACAACAATAAAGGAAACCAAAGTCAGAAAGACAGACAGAAAAAACAACAAAATAAGATTCCACAAGGAAAAAAATTTAACATAAAGAAAATAAATAATCTGGACACATATACTAACCCTAGGAATCAGTAATTCTGAGGAGAGCTAGCTAAGAGTGACATTTCCAAGCAACAACTGAAAGGGGAAGAGAGAAATACAGTGAGAGTCCACCAGTATCTGAAATAGGGATGTGAAAGTTTAACCAGGAGTGGGGCAGCAGGCAGGAGCTGCATGTGCAGGTAACTGTATAACCACTGAATTTTGCAGCAGTTACACGTTTACCCAGTAACCCACTTTTTACATCTCTAATCTAAACACCAATGTGGGAGGGGAATTATTCAGTGACAGACAGAGAGATAGCTTGGAGTGATGTGTTTGAAATGTCAGGCTATCCAGCCCTGATGCTTAAGTCAGCACATTAAAAATAATCAGGGCTCGACAAATACACTCGCCCATGGCAAGTAGATTTTACCAGCTGGCGAGTGCAGGGGTGGACTGGCCTGGTGGGCCGTTGTGACAGGCTGGCTGAAGCCTGCACTACGGGCGGCGTGGCCCCATCCGATCCGCTGGCTGGTGGAGAAGCAGAGCGCCGCCGGGAAGGGGGAAGTGCAGCGATTCTCAGCGCCAGGCTGCCCACGTTCAGCTCCGATGCGAGGAGGTGGGGCGCGAGCCAGAGGGCAGGATGCCGACAGACACCAGGACGCTGGCATGATGCGGCATCCTGACGTCACGGCCAGCAATCGCTGGATTCAAAAAGGCTCTGGCAACCCCTCAAAGTGGAAGACAGAAGCCAGATAGGGGAGGGGGAAGGAGAAGTGGCTTGTGCTGAGGGGAGGAGGTCAGGAGGACGAGGAGGAGGAGGAGAAGAAAGGGGAAGGCACCAAGGGACAGGGGTGCAGGAGAGACAAATGCCAGGGGGCCAAGTGTAGAAAATGAGGAAAAGGGCAGGAGGGGAGATGTCAGTGGGAGGGGTGATAGGGTGATGCTGGGAGAGGAGAGGGTAAGGGCACTGGAGACTAGAGGGGGAAAGGGGAGTTGCTGGAAGAAGGCTCGAAAGAAGGGGTGGGCATGAGGAAGGCGGGAATGGAGCAAGGCATGTGTGAGGGCACAGGGGCATGAGGTAAATGGGGCAGAGGGTAGTGAGGGGGTGGGTATCGGGAAAAAGAAGGCAAAGGGGGCAGAGGCAGTGAGGGAAGGGGGAGGCACCAGGCAGGTGCCAGGGGATTCTGGGGGTGAAGCAGAAGGACAGACACCTGTAGGAGAGGGACCAGCACCAGAGGAGAGGCGCAGGGCAGGTGTGTAGAGGGAGGTGTTAGAAGAGGGGTAGCTCACATGATCAGAGTGGGGCTACTGGAGGAGTGGGCATAGGGGGGAGAGAAGGGCTGATGGAGGGGGGCAGGTCTCAGGTAGGCTGAGGGCATGGAGGGCAGGAGTCAGGACAGCAGAAGAGGGTGAGGGGTTGCGGGGCAGCAGGCACCAGGGGAGTTGATGGAGCAAGGGGAGGAGACATGGCAGCAGAGAGAAAAGGCAGAGATTTATAAAATATATTTATTAATAAGTTGTTAATATCACCACCCAAGTTATTAGTAATTACTGTTCTTATTCTTATTAGGAATTTATGCCATAACCACTTTTTTGGGGGGTGGCGAGTCCCTTTTTTGTCTGGCAAGTAGGGCTTACCATAATTTGTCGAGCCCTGAAAATAATGATGCACAAGTGATGTAATGAGAGATGGCATTGGCTAGCCACAAGAATTCCACCACACCTGACCACCAGGGTGATCAATTCTGGTGGCTAGCCCATTCTACTGCTTACGCCACTACATCCACACTTATTTCAAATGTGCTGAGTCCTGAGTTAGGGGGGAGGGGACGGGGCAAACCTCCAGCTGCAGAGCAGACATACCCTGAAATGAACCAGGCTGTGACAGTCTTTCAAGAGCATAGATGGAAATATTATAGATTGGGACTTTTAAAACTAGATCAGACAAAACCCCAGAGAAAGATCCTGCATTAGCAGGATAGATTAGATTATCCAGTCAGTCTGCTCCATTGATAACCTCTGTAATTCCTCTTTGATAAGCAACGTGTTGCTCCTTTGCACATGTCTGTATATAGATTTGACAGACACAGGCATTTAAAAGTGTGTAAAATGAACATGTAGTTTTTGCGAGTAAAAACAGAGTTAAATAAGTCCACAAAGACAGACAAGAACATACATAAAAGAATTATTTAAAAAAACCCTCAAAATTACAAACATCATAGTCACAAAAATCTTAGCAATTTTTTTTTTTAAACGTCAGCAAGTCTCAGCATGGTGAAACTCATACTGCATTTCTGTCCCTTTCCTGCTCCCAACTTCCCCCACTAGTATAACAATTTATCTGGCTATAACCTTTAAGATCTGGAAACATGTCTCGACTGGTGTCAATAGGGCATATCACCAGTAAAGCCAATGGATTGTGCCACTTTACACCAACGGAGAATTTGGCCCCTACTTGACATCAGGAGAAACAAGGCGAGTGAATCGTTATCTTTTATTGGCCCAATTTCTGTTGGTGAAAGAGAAAAGCTTTTCAGTTTACACAGAGCTCATCTTCAAGTCTGTGAAAGGCACTCAAGAGTCTTTCAGCTAAGTACAAGCTGTGTTTAGCATAAGAAGCTAACCTGCTGTAAGAAACAATTCAAGGTAAAGTGGGCAACTAACATGTCTGCAATGGTAGGCTGAAGGGACGTTAGGGTTAATGGATTGTACATAGATTACTGTAAGGAGCCGATTAAGACCACATCCTGGAAGAAATCTTTTCCAAACTCTCTCTTCCGGCCTTCAAACCAACTATCTTTGACAAGCTCATCAGAAGCAAGCTCCCCACAGGCCCACCCCCGCAAACTCAAAGCAACACTAGGTATTTTTGCATCTTTTGTACTGTTGATCTCTATGGATCATCTACTAACTAAAATTTATTAGTCTGACATTAAATCAAGCAGCACACTTATAAACTTTGATTTTTTGAATATATAATCAGAGGATTCATCCACCCTGCTGGCTGATGATATGAGGACAATAAAAATAATCTTAAACTTGATGAGAGCTTCTTCACACATTTCTGGCATCATTCCCAACATTACATTACAATATCATCAAGTTCTTCCCACAAAGAGAATCAAACAAAAAGGAAGGATGGATGAGCAGGAGGAAATACCTTAAATAGAAGGGTGACATAGGCCGCTCATCTTCTTGGGAACTAGAAATAAAACAAATTTAAGTTAGTATGTAGCTCTGTTCTTTATATGCAAGTTAATTTGTAGCAAAATACTTGTTCTTTCAAAAACAAGATAAAAAAACCGTATATCTGGCCCAGCAGCTATATTTAATTTGTGCATTTTGTTCTACATTAACTTATAGAAAGGAACTTTAAAATATAGTTCTGAAAATCCTGACATCCCAATTAATTTGCCAGTGATCACAAATGTGGAACAATCTGCTGTAGAACTGTCAGGAGTCACCGCAATTCTGCAGATTTCAGGCACTATTCCAATAACAATACAGAAATTCTGCAAACAGAATAACCGGGGCCTTTTGCTTCATGCAGTATCCGATTTCAATAACCTCATAATAAAGGGAAACAGAAAAGCTTCTGTGAAACAAGATTTAAAAAAAAAAAAAAAAAACTTTTCACATGCCAATTTAGTAACCAGGAATGCACAGAGTTGATTTCAGAACTGATTTACCACTCCAGTTTTATGCTAGTTTTACTTCACTTAAATGAAATGAACTAGTACAAAATTGAAGTGATAGTCAGGGGCGATGTGTGGAAAAGACACAAGGAGCCATGTGCCACAAACACCAGGGGTGGAGGTAGTGCTCCCTGTAAAAAGCTGTGCACTTGTGTGGCTGCTCAGAAGACATTCAACTGCCATCCAACTGATTTGCAGTGTGTCCACAGCTAAGTTCTTCGTTTCTACTGGTGGTGCACATTCACACATGCCTCAGTGCACATAAAAATGCATTCTGCACATGCATGGAAAAAATATGCACATGGATGGGAAAGATTAGAGGGGAACATTGGTGGGAGGGGCAAGGGCCAGCCAGCAGCAAGAAAGGAGGAAACCCTGGCACCCACAGTAAGAATCCATCCTTCTGCCTGCTCTCACCATCAGCGGCAAAGAAAGCAGAGCAATGCGGCCCCAGCCAGCTCTGCTCCTTCAGCTGCACTGCTTGGAGCAGGAGTAGAGCCGCCCCACATTCACCAGAGCAACAAAGTCACAGAAGCAAATTGAGCTGGGGCTACATTACTCCACTTCCCCACTGCTGCTGGTAAGTGTGGGGCAGGAGGAGAGCGGATTCCTGATGCTTAGTGCTGGTCTGCTGGCTCCGGGCCACCACAGTTGGAAAAGAGGCAGGGCAGAAACAGAGCAAGGGCAGGGAAGGAGCGGAGCAAGGGCAGGGAAAAGGGGGGGAAGAAGGCAGAGCGAGGGCAGAGAGGGTCAGGGATCATGGGGGGCAACAGGCCATAATCTCCTCTTCACCAGTCGCCCCTGAATACAGTGGTGAGAGTCAGGGCTGAATAAAACTCAATTTGTAAACTAGATATAAACATACATTGGAAAAAAGCAGTTCCTCCTTTACTTGAGTCCCACCGACTCAATTGGAGATCATTAGCCAAAGTTAAGCATAGGTTCAACTCCATTGATTATAGGGCTGTGTTAAATGTAGTGCTAAAAGGATTCTCCTGTCTGAAATATTGTTCAGAGTTTTGCCTTTGTATTGTTTTAGTGCTATGATCTTATTTTTATGCACATGCTTAATTTTTCTGCTGTGAATAGTTTCCCTCAAATCGATTACTCAACAATAAAGTGAAGTGCTTGCAGATCAGGGCCTAGAAAAGTCTACCAGAAGTCTGTTTACTATTAGTAGTGTAGAGGGAAGGGGGAAAAAAAAAGATTAGGGACTCATGTCAAAGAACTGTGCTGCAGTCTAGGTTATATCTAGATAAGACACTGGACAAACATTCAGTGCTCCCATTTCAAGTGTGGAATTTCCAGATTCTAACACAGATTTACCAGTGCAGGAAGATATTGTTTCTGGCACTATCAGCTCCTATAACACCTTCTTCCAACACACACAGAATCGTGCCCCAGCCATGAGACAAACTTCCCTAATCAAACCATACAAAAATAAACATTATGGTCAGATGTGCAGGGTAGATATGTACTTTGAGTACAGATCTTTGGGGGCAGGAATTTTGCCTTACTCTGTGCACACAGGACATGACCTTGTGTGAGGAGAAGTCTTCCCAATGTCTTCACTGAGCTCTGAATCAAGACCATCAAAAAAGCTGTGTATATTTTGGAATTCGTATGCATTTTAAACAAAGTAATAATAGTAAAAGATTTGAATAACTCATGTGCACCAGAAACCAAGTATTTCTCTTCAGTCTCTCCATTGTTTCACAAACTTGATGTCAGGATCACAACCAGGATGTCAGCTGCAATGGTCAGAGCCAGGGGAATGGCCAGGCCTGGAGGTACAAGTGGAGATTAGAAGTCAAGAATCAGGACCCTGGGATACCCAGGAGCGGCAAGTCAGAGATAGTGATCAGAAGCTGAATGCCAGTCAAAGGGTGAGCCAGAGCTGTGGTTTGGAAATAGAATCAGGGGAATCAAGGTTGGAGAAGGGCAGGAACTGAAGTGAGCACAAGAACAGGCTGGGCAGAAACAGACGCAGAAAGCAGGACTGAGAGCAGCTGCAGCATGGACAGTGTTGAGCAATCAAGCAAGCTCTAGCTGCTACTATGTCAAATAGCACCCGATTTTGTAAAGTGAATGGTGAATAAGAATTTGACATAGTTTGAAGTAGCACATCCCCAGTAGGGCAGATACCACTGATTTTGAGAGTGATTCACTGTGGGTAGCTATCCCACAATGCCTGCACCCCTTTGCATTCTGGAGTATGCTCCCTGTATACACTGCCACCAAAATTGTGCAGCGGGTTGCTCTGTGTCCATGTCATTAACATCCCATAATGCACTTTTTCCTCCCTCTCCGCACCTGCTTCAGTGCAACATCAAACGGTCTCGTCTCACCCTTTCCCCCCTTGGTTATCCACACAGACACCATAGCAATGTAAGCATAGATCCGATGGGGGATCCCACTGAACATCAAAACATCATGAGGATTATTTTAACTTTGAGTGCACCTAAAGCTGGAGTATGTCCAGAGCATATCCAGAGTCTGCAGGAAGAAGGACAAACCCCAGGAGGCCACGAACATACTCCTATGCGAAGCACTTGAGTTGAGCGAATGGCACCAGCATTCCATCCGCTGGACACAGTGGAACACCATTACTGATGCAATCAGACAAGCACAGATTGGTAGGGACCCTCTGTGATACTGGCATGGGAAGATCCATATACATAACATTGCTTTCCCCTGCCCTGGAAGTGCAAAAAATACTGAATGAGACCAGCTCACCCAGTGGAGAAGCAAATGGCAATTGCCCCGTGGAAGCTTGCAATGCCAAACAGCTACCAGTCAGTTGGGAATCAATTGGGAGTGGGGTGTTGTGATCCAAGTAACCCAGGCAATCAATAGCCTTCTGCTACTGAGGGTAGTGACTCTGAGAACTATGCGGAGGACAAAGTGGTAGGCTTTGCTGTGCTGGGGTTCCCTACCCGTGGCAGGGCAATAGATGAAATGCACATCCTCATCTTGGCACTGGACCAGCTAGACAAGGAGTATATAAACCAAACGGGGCACTTTTCAATGGTGCTGCAGGGACTGGTGGATCTCAAGTCCTGTTTCACCCACAACGTGGGATAGTCAGGAAAAGTGCATGACATGTGCATCTTTAGGAACTCCTGCCTCTTCAGCAAGCTGCAGCTTTTTTTCCAGACTGGAAAATGACAGTAGATGTTGAAATGCCAAAAGTGATCCTCTGCAACCCAGCCTACTCCTTGTGCTAGTGAATCAAGAAGCCACACACAGGCAGCCTGGACTGCAGTAAGAAACAGTTCAACCACAGGATGAGCAAGTGCAGAACAGTGGTAAAACGTGCTTTCCAGCATTTACAGGGAAGGTTCTCCATTCTATTGACTAGCTCAGACCTCAGCAAACGCTACGTTCCCTTTGTGGTGGCAGCCTGATGTGAGTAAGCAGGAAAAGGTACGTGACAGGATGCGGGGGCTGAGACAGAGCATCTAGCAAGAGATTTAGAGTGACCAGACACCAAGGTAGTACGGAGAGTAGAGCAAGTCAGGGAGGCTTTGAAAGAAAGTTTTATGAATGGCCTGTTTTGAGAGTTATGCAAGTTGCTGTCAATGAGCCGTCCCTGCATTCAGTGTGCTTGCCTATAACCCTGCCCCATTCCACACAAGCAATAAAGAGACCGGTGTTCAGAAATCACACATTTTTATTTAGGGAACACAGCAGGGACTGAAAAGGAGTCCAGGGTGGAAGTTTTGGAAGTGGGGGTGGCAGCTGATCACAACAGCAAGGAGGATAGTCTTTTGCTTTGCCACACATTCCTGGGGGTTGAGTGTGAGGCTGCCCTGGATACAAGTCAACAGTGTGCCCTGGGGCCACGAAGGCTAGGGACATACTGGGCTGCATTAGGAGAAGCATTGCCAGCAGACGTAGGGAAGCGAAGTGATTATTCCCCTTTATTTGGCACTGGTGAGGCCACATCTGGATTATTGTGTCCAATTCTGGGCCTCCCATTACAGAAAAGATGTGTGATAGAAAAGATGTCGGTGCATTGGAGAAAGTCCAGCGGAGGGCAACAAACATGGAACACATGACTTAAAAGGAGAGGCTGAGGGATTTGTCCTTATTTGGTATACAGAAGTATGAGGAGGGATTTGACAGCAGCCTTTTACTATCTGAAGGTGGTTTCAAAGAGGATGGAGAAGAGGCTGTTCTCAGTGGTGACAGATGACAGAACAAGGAGCAATGGTCTCAAGTTGCAGTGAGGAAGGTCTAGATTGGATATTAGGAATAACTATTTCACTAGGAGCGTGGTGAAGTACTGGAATGGGCTACCTAGAGAGGTGGTGGAACCTCCATCCCTAGAGGTTTTTAAGTTCCAGTTTGACAAAGCCCTGGCTGGGATGATTTAGTTGGGATTGGTCCTGCTTTTAGAAGAGGGTTGGACTTGATAACTTCCTGAGGTTTCTTCCAGTCCTATGATTTTGTGGCAGGGACATGCTGGGGTACAAGTCTGAGAGCAGGAGGGCAGAAAGTTGTC